TTATCATGTTAGAAAGTAAACTGCTGTGGGGGAGGTCATGGGATGACACGTTGCCCTCAATCTGGCCAAAAGGCAACACTAAGGTATGTATTGGGCATAGCCCCGCTGCTGACTGGCTGAGTAAGCTGTGGAACTCACGCTGTACAATATATTATCTCCAAATATGTGTATGTGCGTAACTCACTATGTTAATAGCTTTTTTGTATGAGAAGGCAGTGTGGCCTTTGATAAATACCTGGTGGCTTGAGCTGGGGTAAAGGGGCAGAAGAAGGGAGCAGAACAGGAGCGGGGCAGGGAGCTGGGTGGAACTAAGCCCCAGCAAACAGCCTTATACTATACAAATGTCTCCGTGTCTATCATTCAACCCCAAGTCAGACTCTCAAAAGCTTCCACAATACTGGTGCTGTTGGAGGCCAGAAGAGGGCATCAGATGCCCTGGAACTGTGTGAGTGCGTGTTGGGAACCTGACTCCTGCAAGAACCAGTATTTTAAACTGCTGAGCCATCTCTCCAGCCCGATTTCGTAGTTTTTACAAACCCCACCACTGCATACTCATAGCAGGGATGCTGGTAACTAGTAAGTAGGAATTCAATTATTCAAAAATGAAACCATTTTTTAAAATCTGAAAAAAATGAGCATGACCTGGTTTTCTAAAAAAGCTACGATCTCATTTGTGTTCAATTTTTAAAATGTTAATTATGTGTGTATGTGGGTGGATATGTGCTCTGGTGGGAGTCCCCGTGGGGTCAGGTATCAGATCTCTTGCAGGAGTTACATGCAATTTGAGCACTTTGGGTGCTGGGAACCCAACTCAGGAGTTTTGCAAGAGAAGCCATCTCCAGCCCCTACATTAACGTATGTTTACATTGAGCTCCCTGTAAGTACTGTGCTCACCTGCTGAACTCTACTTATGTGCCTGTATGCTGTATGTGGAGCCCTGTGTTCTCAGCATCATGTGTAGGAGTTGTAGTGGTACACACTTCCCTCACTGGGGAGGTAGAACCAGGAGGATCAGAAATTCAAGGCCATCTCCTGACTGCATAGATCCAGGCTAATCTGGGGTCCATGAGACCCAGCTACAAAAGGTATGATATGGGTCTCCTCTATATTACCAGATTTTGAATGTTGGAAATGGGCTTTCAGTTAAGGTCTCTGGCCATTGTAAAACTGGAGAACTGGTGAGAGCCTCTTCTGTGGGCCAGTCAATCAGAACTTGGTCACTTTAGACTGTAGTTATTTCCATTAAGTTCCTTTCCAATTCATTCCCTTCATCCAAACTCTCATGTTTAGTTTCTCCTGTTGTCCATTTACACTGAGCTCTCAAGGGAGATAAGTATTTCAGAAGGTGGATGGAGAGATGGCTCAGTGGTTTAAGAGTACTGGCTACTCTTCCAGAGGTTCTGAGTTCAATTCCCAGCAACCACATGGTGGCTCATGACCATCTATGCTGGGATCTGATGCCCTCTTCTGGCACGCAGGTGTACATGCAGATAGAAACTCATAAACATAAAATAAATAAATAAATAAATACTTAGCTGGAGAGATGGCTCAGCCGTTAAGAGCACCAACTGCTCTTCCAGAGGTTCTGAGTTCAATTCCCAGCAACCACATGGTGGTTCACAAGCATCTGTAATGAGGTCTGGTGCCCTCTTCTGGTGTGTCTTAAGAGAGCAATGGTGGTGTACTCATATGCATAAATTAATCTTTAAAAAAAAAAGGATTTCAGAAGGGAGAGACCAAGCCGGATAGTACACATGATGTGTGATACTTTTGCACACATCCAGGATAGACACTGCAGGTAATTCTGTAAAATGTCTACTGGAGGTGATTTAAAGTTAAAAAGTTCTAGAAATGGATCTTTTCAAAATAATGTTAAGACTCATTTCTCAATGAAATGACATCAATTTTTCTTTTTTTCCAACTTGAAGGCAAAAGACTGGTTTACTGGAGCACTAAAAAATCTCCAGGCTGGGGATGTTCCACAGGTAGAGCACCTGTCAAGCATGCATGAAGTGCTGGTTCGACCACCACATCACACAAATACTGTACACACCTCACCTGAAATCCTACTACTTAGGACAAGTTCAGGGCTAGCCTAGGAAAAATGAAACCCTGTCTCAAAGGAACAGTGTGTTCATCAGTCTGGCTCACTGAGTAGTTTTGTACCATGTTTGTTTTTCCATTTTTCTTTCTAAAAGGATTTCTGGTTTTTGTATGAACTGTTTGGACTAAATCCTTGGAAATGTGTTCTTGGTACATGAACTTTGTATAGTCATATTTAAGTTGTATTGGTGTACTTTTTAAAAAAAAACTGTTTAAAACTATTTTATTGGGTTTTGCTTTTTCAAGACAGGGTTTCTCTGTATAGCCCTGGCTGTCTTGGAACTCACTCTGTAGACCAGGCTGGCCTCGAACTCAGAAATCTGCCGGCCTCTGCCTCCCAAGTGCTGGGATTAAAGGCACATTTTATTGGGTTCTTATACCTCTACCTCTCTTCCAAGCCTTATTCTACCCTGATCCCTTCCAACCACCCCACTCCCCCGCCCCCACCAGGTAAGAGAGGTTAGAGGGCAAAGGGGGTGTAGACTTCTCTAGGATACTTCCTTGCTGATTAGGGATGTTGAGTTTCTTGGGGCAGTCCAATCTTGGTTGTCAGGATATCTCCAGTTTCCTGTGTCTCTTTGCTCAGGGACATTTGACAAACCATAACAGAGGCAGCGGGGAGCAGAAGCCAGCACAGGCCCTCGGTACTCCCCCATTTATATCAGAGTCCCCAGAATTAAATTATCTGCAGCTAGATCACACCACTGCTAGTGCATGAGGTAAATCATAATCACAGGCTGTGAGCCTCTTATTTCACACCTGGGATTAAAACAAAACATTCTCATAGATGGTTTTTGAAAGAAACCAAAATTCTCATCACAAAGCTGCAATTTTTTTTTTTTTGAGACTTGAGAATTCATATTTCTTGAAGGGCTAGCTTTACCAACTTTATTCAGCAACAGAAAAAAAGCATCCAAATTAAGGCTCTATGACAGGTAGGGTAAGACAAATAAGTAGGGCTCAGTGAGTGGGTAGATATTTATGGGAGTGATTTTTTTCAAACAAACAAACAACAAACAAACAAACTTTGAGAATAAAATAAAAGCTTGAAGCCACGTGTGATGCGCATGCCCTGTCATCCCAGCAATTGGGAGGCTGAGGCAGAAATGCCTGGGTGGGTTACAAAAGGAGCCTAGCTCAAAAAGCCCACCAAACCTTTCCCTCCTGCCAGAACCAAACACATCCCAAAAGAATGAACCCTTGCAGACAGACTTGGCCTGTCAGTTCTGTGACTCTGAGTTTCTCGACATAACCCAGGCTGTCGTTCTGTGTCAGCCTCCCAGTGCTGGGATGCTGTGGGGTCCAGTTCTGCTGTGGGGCTCTTATCCAGCATGGCCCTCTGAGATGCTCTTCTGACTCTTTTATCCTAAAAATATGGACTACTGTCAAATCAAAGATGAACTTTAAATTGGAATCATAATTTGAATGCTGACTTGTGAATGTTGAAGACTACTTAAAATTGGTACTTATCCTGAAAACTTATGATGAAGTAGATCATGAACTTTTAAAACACTAGCACAGCAGTACTCAACCTGTGGGTCAGACCTCCCTCTGGGGGGTCGAATTATCAGGTATACTGCATTTCAGATAATTTCATTACGGTTCATAACAATAGCAAAATTATAGTCATGAAGTTGCAATTAAACAATTTTATGGTTCAGGGTCACCACACATGAGGAACTATTTTAAGAGGGTCCGCAGCATTAAGGTTGAGAACCACTGAAATAGCAGTTACTAAACATAGCTCAACTGCACAAAAGCTAGGCGACAGAAAAATATAATTTGCAGTCTACTAAAGTTACAAACCTGGGGATATGGTACCCAGACACTCAAAAAAAGAAATACCGTAGCATTTCTATTATTAAAAAGCCTTACACAGCTGTGACATCTAATTTATGGGGGTGATTTTGTTTATTTACTTTTTTGGCTAGGTATGCCATGAACCTGTGTCTAGTGAAAGCGTTTTATACCTCGGTTGTACAGACTAGTTTAGCTAACATGCCAAAAAAATGTACAAAATAACTGTTGAAAATGATGCAAGACATTCCATAACGGACAAATTTAAATCAGTTTGTCTTTTTCAGGAAGACAACTTGAAATCTGACCAGGGCTATTAATATTCAGTACCACAAACAGTAAACACAGAACTAAGACAAAAAAAAAAAAAAAAGACTGCAAAAACACAAGGGATCGAGTAGGGAAACCAACTACAAGAGTTAGGAGGTAGATGGTCGCTCCTGTTCACAGGTGAGTGAGCGATTAGCATTCTGGTTCCTGGAGACTCTGCTTACAGCAGCCAAAGAGCAAATATATGTACAGTCCCCTGAGCATTTTCAGTGACATAAGAGACCTGGTCTCCGGCAGCAAGACGTCGAACTGCACACCCGATCTGCGTGGGGAGGATCCCTACGGCACTGTAGAAGGCTTCACGCCCCCATCCTACCACCAGCGCCTGCGACAGCAGGCCGGTAGTTGACCCCACGCCAGATTTCACAGTCCCTTTAATAAAGACGCCAAAGGGGATTTTAATCAAGGTGACGAAGGTTGCACCCGTTTGAGGGCCTGCCCATCCTCTCCCACCTTCCTTCCTTGCGGTCACCCGGGGACAGAGGGAGACCGTGCTGGGTCGAGTCAGGACGCCGCCAGCTGAAGGCCAGGAAGGCGCCAACAAAGCCCCAGAGGGACCAGGAAGGAATAGAGCCGAAAAGATGGCGTCGAGCCCGCGCCGGGGCGGGGCGAGCCACGCCTCCCACAATGCTATGCGACACCCCTTTTCCGGCTGTGGGCAGCGCGGTGGTCGGGGACTGCGGCCGGAAGCGAGCTGAGCGGCTCTCAGCGAGCGCCGCCTGCACTTCCGGGGGCTTGTGCCTAGCTCCTGAGTCTTCCCTGTAGGCGGCGCGGGAGGGAAAAGTTTGCAGGGCCGTGCTGGGAAGATCACCTCCGCTTCCCAATGTGAGCAGTTTCCCGAACGCTCTTTAGGAGAAGGTTACCCAGAGAGGTGGTGGACGGGAACATGAGGCAGCGTCTCCTCTTCCTGACCACTTTGGTGCCTTTCGTCCTGGCACCCCGACCTCCGGAGGAACCAGGCTCTGGCTCCCACCCGCGACTTGGTAAGAGTTTGGGGAGCAAAGCCTGGGGAGCAAACTGACTTATCTGGCCCCAGAGTGCTTGGAGGGACGCGCCGGGCGCTGGGGGCGGGATTTTGGGCTACAGTGGCGCGTCCCGAAGTTTTCAGTGTGGGAAGGGGGGTGTGGCTCTCGGTGTTTAGCGACAGAAAAGAGTTGGGCTTGTCTCTCCGTGAGGAGGGACATCCTGGAGGGGTCTCCCATAGGGACAGAGGGCCTGAGAGGGGCAAGTTCTCTTAGGTTTATTTCTGGAATGTTTAGAAAAGAGGTGTTGACACGTGGATGGTTCGTTTGTGGAGTGTGAGATTTGGTCGAGGTCCTTTGCTTGCTATCAAGTGAATCTAAGGTGTTAGGTGTTTCTGTCGAAAGCAAGACCCTGGAAGAAAGGACGGGCCCAAAGCTCTACACCACTTGTTGGCTCTCACAGGCTAACTTGAATTTATGAAGGAGGTGGAGGTACTTAACGCAGTACCTGATTGGAAGGTGGCGACTGAAGTAGTTTCATTTGCATTTTTGACTGGATTTGGAATCGTGCATTGGTTTTGAGATCATCCTAAGCACCCTCTTGTTGGAGAGGTGCTTGGCCGAGAGAGCGAGGCTCACACTTCCAAGCTAACTCTTGAATTGGCTTGCCACTATGAAAGCATTCCTTGCAATTTTTAACAGATCACCAGGGCTGAGCCGTTTAAAGAATCTAGAAACTATAGGGTTTCTACTTGAATTTTTCTTTTTTTAAAGCGAGATCGGATTATAAGGAAAGGCATGCATTAGAGGTTTGAAGATTGGTGATAGGCAGTTTACCCGGTATCTTAGGATCCTTAGTTTGCAAAAGTGGCTAAGACATTTCAGTTAATCACTAACAAAGTTTGAAACAGTTTTGATGATAGGGAGCTTTACCATGTGTCTTAGGATCTTTTAGCTTGCAAATGTTGCCATCTAAGGCATTTCAGTTAATAACAAAGTGAGAACTAGCTCATTGTGTGAAGTTCTGATCATGTCATTATAGTATTTTATTATTCAGATTGAAACCCTGTGAGTTTTTGTTTTTTAATGTCTGTTTTGAGACAGGGTCTCACTATATATTTCTAGTTGGCCTGAATTCGCTATGTAGACCAAGCTGGTTTCAAACTCAGAGAGATCTGTCTGCCTCTGCCTCCCAAGAGCTGGATTAAAGACCTTGTACCATCATGCCCAGCCTTGTTAGTTTTTAACCTGTGTTTTCATCTTATTTACTGAACAGAGGTTGTAGTTGACTGGAGTAGACACTGAATGTGTTTTATGTTTGTATCCAAATAATTTTCTTGTGTGTGTTTGCATTTTAAAATGGATTATGTATCTGACAAGTTTAAAGAACAGCAAAGGAGCTAGTTAGCAAGGGCTGAGATCTAAGTTGATACAAACTGAAAGAAAAAATTTCAGTATGCATAGCAGAGATAAGGACCTGCCTCATTTTAAGGATGCTGATAAGAGTAAACTTTCATTTGAGATAGTAAAGTGATTTTTTTTTGGTTTTTTTTTTTAACTTATTACCATTTTCTTGCCCATGAGTAGAAAGAAAAGCATGAATCCTAGGGACTCGTACCAGTGTAGAGGAAAACTACATTATTTCTGGATTGATTCTCAGCGATGTATGCACATCATAGGAATTTTAAAATTTTTATTTTTAAGACAGAGTTTAACTCGATAGGCCTGGCTGTCCTGAAACTTGCTATGTAGACCAGGCTGGCTTTGAACTGATCTGCCTTTGCCTCCAGAATGCCTGGATAGATTGCTTTCTTTCTTTCTTTTTAAATTTTGATAGCTAAGTATAGAACATTCTATGTGCAAAAACAAAAACCAAACCCATAGGTATAATCTGTTGATCTAAGACTTGAAGAACTCATATTTGGGCTACCAGGAATTATGCCTGGCATTAAAGATATAAATTTTTTTTAAGATTTTATTTATTTTATATATGTGAGTACACTGTCCCTGTCTTCAGACACACCAGAAGAGGGTGTCAGATCCCATTACAGATGGTTGTGAGCCACCATGTAGTTGCTGGGAATTGAACTCAGGACCTCTGGAGGAGCAGTAAGTGCTCTTAACTGCTGAGCCATCTCTCCAGCCCAGCATTAAAGATATAAAGATGAAATAATATTCATCTTTGAAGGTTTATGACTTAGTGGAAAGAGACTCATTCAGAGCTCTAAATAGACACTGTTGTGTGTATGTTAACCTTAAGGTGAATTTCAGAATGTTTCAGACACAAAATCTCTGACCTACTTTTTTTCACTTCCACCCACCACTTTTAATTTTTTATTAAAAGTAACACAAAGGAAAAACAGTTTTGAAATCAAAGTGAGACTTATACACCCCAGCTGCAACTTCACTATGACATCATGACTTAGCTCATGTGACTCATAACTTTCCTAAATTATGCAATTAATAACAGTTCCTGAAGTCATTTTTGGTGATCCACAGAATACCCTAGAAGCCAAGTTTCTGTTTATTATGTACTTTTTGCCCTTCAGAAGGTTATATACCTAATCAATCTTTAGTAGAATTATAGTTAAGTATAGAACCGAGTAAGTAAATGAAAACCAAAACCAAGAACCCTGGGATCTTAAATTAAACTGTTTGTTGGTCTTGAACAACACTCTATTAGTAGGGTTGGGTGAAGCAACAAACCATGTGGTGAACTGCCTAAAAACCAAGAATCCTTCTTCAGAAATCCACAAGGCCTGTTCATCACTTTATGCTCATGACAACTCACTGAATTCTTCTGAGATGGATATTTTTCTACTCAACTGAAAACACTAGGTGATGTAGTCCATGCTTGCCTAGCATTCACGTGCAAGGCTCTGAGTTTGAGCCCCATCTCACAGCTCATGGCTAGTAGGACCGTTGCACTCAGGATTTAGATGCTTGGCCTCCTCATACTAAAGTTGCTATTTATACAGTGCAGTCCTATAAAATCCAAACACTTCACACAGACGGCTCCAAGGGAGGCTTCAGGAAACTCTGTTCTGTAGTTGTAGTCAGAGACTACAAGAGTCTTTCTGTGATACAAGAAAGAATGGAGAACCGTGATGGGGAAATTGGAGAAGTCCTTGAATGTTATGTGTAAAATTCCTCCACATCAAGTGTGATTGATTGTGATGCTTCACAGTTTTTGTTGTGGGAGACAGCACTTGTATACAAGTGGAAGTATAATTTGAAGAGAATGTGAACTAGGTTAATAGGGAAGGAACGACAAGACAATCTTCACCGCCTCGAGAAGTGAAAGAAAGAAAGAAAGGTTTCTGCTTTGCCTCCTTGCCTTAACATCAGCTAAGAGAGGAGGCACGTCTTTTCTTAACTTCCTCTTTGTGCCCCACAAGCAGGAATTATAGACTCTGAAGACTGTCAGCCATTACTCCAATTTCACTTGCTGTGTAGAGATACATGGCTAAATATAATATCTCTAATCTTGTCTTGTTCTCTGAAGCCCCATTCATATCCAGCTGATGTTCACACCTCCATGTTCAAAAGCACATTAGTGTAGTATGTTCAAAATTATTTGTCATTTATTTTTTTGGTTAGAAGAGTGAGCACAAACTGGGAGTTGTGGTGGTGGTAGGAGGGGGGGGGGGCTGGCGCACGCCCTTAGTCCCAGGTGGAAGCAGCTGAATCTCTGAGCTCCAGGTCAGCCTGGTTTACAGAGTGAGTTTTAGACAGCTAGGGTCACACAGAGAAACCCTGTCTCACCCACCTCATCCCAAAAAAGGAGTGAGCATGAAAACAGAGTTGCAGTTGGACCAGGGAGGGGCCTGGGAGTATTGACGTCGACCCCTTGTCTTACTTGAGTTTTCACCAGTGTACTGCAGTCTCACAGCCCTGGCTTTCTTCAGGGGTTCACCTGGACTCGCAGACTCATTTAGGTTGAGCAGCTATTGGTTAGGGGACTTGCTAGTCTTGACCTAGATTAGTTTCAGCTTTGGTGAACACTCACCGTACAGGATTAGTTGAAGTAGCTGACTGGTATAAACCCATAAAGTCACAGTTTTAGCTGTGAGGTTCCGGTTCCCAGGCCCAGTAGAGAACACTGCTTTCCTTCACTCATGCCTTAGTCCCAAGGAGGAATTCATCCATTCCCAGGGCTTCCCGCACTGACTGGCCAGACTGCATCCCTCTGTGTGTTCTGGAAGTGCTGACCTTGAGTCTTCAGCATAGACACGGTACTCAGTGGCCCAGTCCAGGCTTTGGTTTTTCCATTTGTGTTGTTGTTGTTGTTGCTGGGACAAAGGATATCATTTTGTAGCCCAGGCTGGCACCTTCCAGGGGGCTGCATTTACACTTAGAGACTATATTCTAGGGAAATGTAATTCTATACAAAACCCAAAATAATGTAAACGGTCCAAAGATGTTTCTAGACCCTTCGTCCTAATACTTTATTTATATTTTCCCTGCATACATGAATACATTATGTGTAACTATACCTGTGCATACATATGCCTAGATTCACACAAAAATGTAGACAAAAATGTAGACATAAGTTTTAAACTTTAAAAATTAGATGTAGCTTAAAAATGCTGTGAGTTTGATGGAAGAAATTTGATTATACTTGAGATGAATTCACTAAATTCAATGGCTATAAAAACTTACTGAGAGATAGCAGTTCTTGTGTAAGAGGATGGTGAGGTGGAAAGTTTATCACATTATCACATCTCCTATAGGCATCACCACATCAGCACCAGGAGAAGCAGCTTGTGGTTTAATGGTCCAGCTCTCTTCTTCCTTGAGAAGTTAGTAAGGAACAAAGTATAGATTGCTTTTGCCGTTGACTTCAGTTTGAGGCAGGTTTCTCTGTTCTTGCCTAAAATCATTGTCTGACTTATCAGCAGTGTGTGTGGTATAAGTGTACATACATGCATACATACGTATGAATGTCTATGTAGGTAGCCATGCCAGAACCCCAGGAGTCTTTTAGTGATACTTACTTTATTCATTCAGAAGCAGTTTAC